TATGTGCCCATATATATACATACCATCTATGGCATTTCAAATTTGGTTTGTAGAATGACATCATATCCAGTTTGTCAACTCCACCCATATTTTTATTATAAAACTGGACTATGTAAGGTTGCTTTACCATAATATATTTGCGAGTTTTTCTGTCAAAACGCCTCACTGTATTGATTGGTTCAATACTTGCAAAAGATGAAATTAAAGTTACTGCCTTGTTATCTATCCAACTAACAGCTATGTTATTAGAAATGGTGTCAGTACGATAGTCAAATGATCCACGTCCTTGCTTTTTCAATTCTTTTTCTGAAGGCAATGAGGATTTGTTAAGGCGTTTAAGGCGTGCTGTTCCAACATACCATATTCCACGCTTTTTCAGTTCATCTAGCAAAGGCAAAGAAGAAAAATAATTATCAGCAAATATTTTAAAATTATGATTTTCTGGCAAAGTTGAGGTCATTTTGATTACAACAGATGCCCCAATACCATGAGGAGAATATTCATCTTTCTTTTTTATTTCTTTTCCTTGATATAAATCAAAGTCATACAAATACCCGCTGACACCACATCTACCCCAAAGTTTAAACCCCCACTTATTGGGTTTATTTGGGACATATTGCTTCAAAAATGACCTTCCTTTGAAGGCAACCATTATCTCATCAACTGATTGATTTTCTTCAGGAGAAACTTTTAAGAAATTTTCTCTCAGTTTTTCCAACCAAGGTCTTAATTTCCAGGCCCGATCATTTTTCTTTACTTCATCTGTTACTTTTAAATTGTCAACAAAGTGTAAATAGCGAAGAATAGAAAGAAATCTATTCCTTGATAATACTGAGCTTACTGCATCATAATTCATAAAGGTTTCCCAATAAGATCTCACTGATGGTAGTTTCACAAGACCCATACGAAAATAAACACCAATAAACGATTCTATTTCATTGGATGTGACACAAATGCTTGTACCTGATGACTGGCAACTATATAAACTAGATTGTTCAGCAAGAATGTCGATAAAATTGTCATCAACAAACATTTTAAAATATTCGTATGGAGTGGTAGTTTCATCTGGAATAGGTTCAATAGGTACTTCTTGAAAAGTAATATCACCAATCAAGTCATTATCAAGTGGAACTTTTTTCCAAAGTGGCAAAACTCTTAAACTCTTTTTATTTTTATTATTTTTAATTTTTTTGGGTGGAGGTGAGGAGTTGAAACAAAGCATATCATCGTCTGTACTGCTTTCTTGGGTAAGAGACTCCGAAATGGGTAAAGGTATATTGGCATTGTTGTTATCATGCACAATTTTAGTACTGCTTACAACTGCAGTCGAAAGATCAGGTTCAAAATCAGAGTCTGACTCACTCAGATCCTCAAAATCACTTTCACCATCTAGAATGTATGCTAGAGCATCTTCAATGTTTAATTTTTTATTTTTATTCATCTAAAGAAAAGTAATATATGTATGTATGTGTATATATATATATATATATATATATATATATATATATATATATATATATATATATATATATATATATATATATATATATATGCATATATATGTACATATATATATGCATATATATGTACATATATATATGCATATATATGTACATATATATATATACATATATATATATATATATATATATATATATATATATATATATATATATATATATATATATATATATATATATATATATATATATATAGATATATAGACATATATACGTACATATAAGTATATATATATACTCTTGCATGTCTCTTGCATGGCATCAAAAAAAGTTTCCCATAAACTGTAGTTTTAAAGAGCGCGTTAATAAACCAGACCAGAATAAGTTAATATATAATAAAATTAAACTTTTTTTTATTATTGATTTAAATAAAATTTAATTAAATATTTTTTATTGCAATCAAAAGTTGTATAAATATTCTTTTGCTTGCAAGATGATAAATAAAAGTTTTTATTATATACAAGGCTTGAATTAAGTGATAGGGAATTGCAATATCCAAAAATATTTCAGCTTTAGTTTTTAGTTTATCGAAAACTGTGAACACTGTTTTTTAATGAAACGGTCAATTTATCATATTGCAAAAATTAATGAAAAAAACAAAACAATAAATTTAGTACAAAAATAATAACAATCAAAACTTACATATTTTTAATTAATTTTTTTAAACACCAGGTAATTTAAGGATAAATTAAAAAATATGAAAATTATTATGAAAAAGGTTTTTTGTCTTATTTTAAAATAATTATACAAAATTTAAATTAGTTTTTATATATTTTTAAACTCCTCTGTCTTTTAATTTTGTATACATATCTACAAAAGAGTTATGGTCATTTAACTTATAAAAAAACATTGAACAAGGTTTAAATAAAATCTTAATTTTATATCTTAATTAACAATTTCTTTTATTTCAAATATTTGATCTCTGTTATATTCCTTTAGACTGTTGCAATTAGTGGTTGTTTTTAAAGGATTATATCGTACTTTACTTATCTAGTTTTATCTGATGATTTATATCGTACTTTACTTATCTAGTTTTATCTGATGATTTATAAAATGAATGTTAAAGTTTAAACCATAATCTTTAATAATAATAAAAATAATAGTAATAATATGGTTTTATCACTTAATTTCGAGCCCTGATATATATATATATATATATATATATCACCTAATTTCGAGCCCATATATATATATATATATATATATATATATATATATATATATATATATATATATATATATATATATATATATATATATATATATATATATTTAATATATATATATATATATATATATATATATATATATATATATATATATCAGGCCTTGTGATGAATAAAACATGCGCGATGCATAAGCACGATGTGGTTTTTGACGTCATTAAATTCTTTTTATATGCTTTTTATATTTATCGACATTAACTGCACCAATTTACTTAATTATGGCAAAACTACTTTAAATCATTTATGTAGAAATGTTATTATTTAAAAATATTTTGAATGTTTCGTTTTTTAAATTGTAAAAACATTTGTTTATTTTCTCGACGTTTGACACGTTTTGTCTATACTAAACGAATAAAAAACATAACTAAACATTTAAAAAAGATTATAAAATATGCTAATATTGGATTTTTTTTTTTCTCAAATATGTAATTTAAAGTTTTTCAAATAATTATTTTTTCTTTTTAAAAAGTCAGCAAGTAATAAACTGGAAATTTTAATATTTTACGATTAAAAACTGTGCAATAGCTAATATTTTTACTAGCGATTTTATATAATAATTTTTTATTTATTTATTTTTAGTAATTTTCATAAAGCGGTTGATAAGCTCAATCACTCGTATTGCTAAAAAACTTTAACGAACGTTTTGAATAGATTTTTAATGTTTACAAGGAATTATATTTTTGGTAAAATAAAATAAAATGTTAGAATAAAAATCTTATAGGTATAAAAGACATATTTCAGCGAAAAAATTATTCTTAAAAATTATTTTACTTTTTTATTGAATCAAGTAGAATACGTTTTAATATTATTTTTTTAATTTTTTTTATTTGCGCTTACCAATTTTTAAAATGTTTCCTCGAAATTACTTTTAAATACTTTAAATATGTCTAACAGTTAATAAATATTTTTAAATCTATGGAATAATTTTAGTTAATAATTATTTTTAAATCTATGGAATAACAAACCCACGTAAAATAACTAAGTTAAAAATCTAAAACTAAAAGAAAGTATTTTTGTTCAATTTTATCGACAACTTTGCTATTGCTGAATAATTTTATTAAAATGTTAGCTTAAAAAGATTTAAACTTTTTTTTTAATCTGAATTTTTTCTACTTGTAAATAATGAGCATATTTAATTTTTTTGTAATTCAAACTTTTATATCAACTGCGTGCGGTTTTTAAAATACTTTATTAAGTGTTAAAATAATCGTAAATTACTTCATTAAAATTCCGCTCAAAAATATCTTTAAATATACTCAAACAAAAAGTATTTTGCTCGATGCAAATAGCCCTAGCTACACGCAAAATCCCTCTTGGACGACGTAAAATTGCCCGACGCTTTATCACAAGGCCTGATATATATATATATATATTTATTTTATGGTTTTTTTTTAATGCTTCGTTTAATAACTTTGTATACAAAAAAGAATTTGTCATTAACTTTAAACATTTAAAAATAAATTATGGATGCAATACCACACAAATAATTAAATTAAAATTTTTAAAAAGTACTCCAAAAAAACAATTTTTTGGAAGATGAAATGAGATAAAGAAAATTAATTTTTCTTTTATTTATCCCATATCACTTTTGTGTAAGCATTATTTACAAAAAATAAAAGATAATAAATAAAATTATGTTAGTTACAGAAATTATTTTAAATTTTATTTTTATCTATTATAATAGAAATAAGTAACCAATAAAAATGTAAGGCCTTAGCCCATGTACATTTAGGTATTTTATTTGCAAATTTATTTCTAAACATAATAAGTAAACATAAACTATTATTTTAGTTTTTAAACAATTTAACCCTCAAATAATTTTATATTGTTTTAAAAAATAATTGAAAAAACATAAAACAAGCTTTAACATCAACACTTGCAAAATGTTATTGCATTATTACACGAGATTAAAGATTACATGATGTTATCACATTATTGCATGAGTTAAAAAGTCATCAAAAAAAACTACTGTAATTAAAAAAGTCTTCACTTTAGAATACAAAACAAAAAAATTTTAACTTTGGATGTAAACAGTTTTCTACATAAAGAATAATTAAATTAATAAAAAGAAAAAAAATTGAGTCGCTTTTTAAAAGATTTGCATGGCATTTGTCATCAGGCGACTGCAACTGTACGTCACACACACACGCGCCCATACACACATGAGCGCACACACATATATTTAAGTTTATTATATATTATAGAAAAAGTTGCATTTTTTTTTACTTTATCAATAATTTTAATCATATTTCAGGGAAGAGCATATACCTTTGACCATGTCTTTAAACCAAATGCTTCACAAGAACATGTTTATTCAGTGTCGGCTAAACCAATTGTGTCTGGTAAGCTGAGTGTCTGATAATATGGCTTTTATATTTAATAATTAATTTTTTTTAATTTAGTATGAAATTTGACATATCTTTTTTTAAATAAAATAGGTTGTTAATATTAGTTATTAAAAAATAACAAGTTTTTACTAAAAGTTTGTATGAGAAAACACCATATAATTCTCAAAAAGTAACATACTTATACTTTATGTGCATAAAATTACAAAACTCTGTTAATTTTGTTTTATTGTTTGTATTACCAGTTTTTTTTTAATGTTTATTAATCTCACACATTTTTAATATTTATTATTCTCCTACATTTTTTTCCAGTTCATTACTTGGAATAAACTAAAGTAGTTTTTTCCATAACCAAATACATGCATAGATTTAACATCTTGTACTTCAAGTGACATCCAACCACAATTTGAGCACACTGTTATTTTTTTACTACTAAGCCTTCAGTTTATTTTTTTTAGCAAGAGACACGTTGTATGCCATACCCTGTTTACCAGGTTTTCCTGTGCTAGATAGAAATTCTTTTCTCCCTGTATGACTATTGAAAAAGTAGATTTTGTCAAATATTTGTCAGTTAAGTTAAAAGCATTTATGTTCTGCTTTATCTTCTGTTATCTTCTTATAAGCAATACAGCAAGTGCTTATCTAATAAACAAAATCACTTGTGGATAATAATTTGAGAGTATCTAACTAAATGTACCCTTAATTTGATGTACATATTTAAGTTGTATTTATTAAATGATATACTTTGTTATTTATTTAATTTAATTGTTTTTTGATGACAATGTCAATGACAGTCGTTTTTTGATGGCAATGTCATTGATAGTTGTTTTTTGAAGGCAATATTATTGACAGTCGTTTTAAATGTTATCGTTTTTAGTATTAGCTCAATATGCAGGTAATTTTTATGGTTTTGCCATCTTTTTTTGATAAAGTTTGAGTTTCCTTAAACTGTAAAAACATATATTTGATACCATACACTTGCACATTTGTGATCAAATTTCATTATGCTCAGCTCATTTAAAAATGCTACTTCTGTCATTTAAGATAAATGAAGAGTAATGCTTTTTTCACTTTTTTAAATGTTTGCTTGTATTACATTTTTTTGTTTGTTTTGTTAATTCACCTCCTCAAGGCGGAGAAGGCCACTCCAGACAAGGAGACTACTTTATTGTGGTTATAACTCTCTTTCAACTCTATAACTCCTAAACACAAACCTTGACGAATAAGGCCGCTGTGCGGAGAAGGAGTTGAGCATGGTACTACCAGGCATGTGGTGGGGATTGAACTCGGAACCACTCGTTTATGAAAGGAGCGTTCTACCACTACCTATTACCGCACTAAACATACAGACAGGTTCCACTTATTTGATTGCTTGTACTGCATACTGACACAAGTCTTGTTAAGAATCATTACGCAGCTCATATTTTACATATGAAATAGCAATTTGCATACTGATTCAGCAATTTATCATTAAGCAATAACTTTTTTTATTTTTGAATATTTAAACTTTTAATATCATTTATGCAACATATTATTTGTATTTAGAAAATATCAGTTCTTAAAAAAAAGTTCAACTTTTTTTTAAGAACTGTCCAATTTTTTCTTAAAGAAACTGATTATTTAATATATATTTTTATATATATATTAAATAATTTAAATATTAAATATAAATGATTTTGTAAATGAAAAATTTATATTTAGTTTTGAATTGTAAAAATAGTTCCTAAAATGTAGAATGTAAAATTTGGTCATTATAGACTAAAATCTGTAAAAGCAAATAAAAAATACTTTTTATCTTTTAAAAAGGGAGAATTATTTTTGTTTAAGAGAAATTGTTTCATAAATAGCTTAAACTTTTGTTTTTGTTTTTTATTAATTCAATATTGTGTCAATATTAATAATTTTTTTATTTATTTAATTTATTTATAAGTATAAATCTTTATTAAAAATAGTTCATTAAACACGTAAATAAATACGTAATTTGTGATAGACAAACAAAAGATTATGATATGTAAAAGATTGTTTTAAGAAATAAATTATAAAGAAGTATCTTTTTAAAAAAAAGCAAATTACAATTAATATTTAATTATGTGTTACATTTTCTCAGTATTCGTGTTCAAGAAAAAAGCGGAAAGAATGGTTTTATACAAAACTGTTTGACAATTTTAATTTATTTTGTTTTTCAATAATTTTTATTTTGTTTGTTATATGCAGAATTTAGAAATTCTTTATTTGATTCTTGCTTTTTTTGAAAATAAAAATTAAAAATTGTTAGGGTTTTTTATAAAATAATTAATTTTTATAATACCATATTAGTATAATTTTACAAACAGTGTTTTATTAAATAGTTTATGGAAACATAAATTGTTAATTGAATGCTGTATTTCAAAAATGTGATGCCACATTTTTTTTCAAAATTGAGGTTATTTGAAAAAAATATTCACAAGACATATGTTCACATATTTGGAACAAAAACGTGACGAGTCGGATATCGTGATATACAAATTAATAAGGCGCTAAATATTGTGTATTTTTGTTCAAGGTTGTTCCTTGGAATCCATGGAACTGTCAGTTCGATTAAAATGTCGGTCATTGATAGTTCTGATAGTGCAAGTATTAAAAAAAATATGGATTTAAACAACAACAAAAAAAAGAAAAAAGGGAGTGCTTAACACTCATAAATATAAACAAAATGTTATAAAAAAGACAAAAATAAAAGGATTGCAACATACAAATTATGTGAGTAAGAAAATTTCTTCAGTTTCAATGGGTAAAGATTGTAGATTAGTTTTGTCCTCATTATTTATCTGCAATGACATATATTCAACTTGACTCATTTTTTTACAATGTTCTTTCATATTTGCTTATTATTTTAGGTGTTGAAACAAGTGCTTTGAACACATTTCAGCAGAAACCCAAAATATTATTCAAAGATCATTTATTGATATGAATACAAAAAATGAACAGGACATTTTCCTACAAGGTCAAATGGAGATATGTGAAATTAAGCATAAGTGGCCAAGAAAGTAAATACCAGGAAAATAATCTTTTAATCTTATACCATTTGAATATAGAAGGTTTTTGAGTGAATGATGTGTGAATAAAATATTTATGCTTGATATGTTTAAAAGACAATATCCTCCACCTCCTCTTAAATATCACTTTTTTAGATAGTATTTTCAAGAGAACTATTATCATTTGGAAGACCACAAGTACACGTATGTTCAACGTGTAAGGAGTTATCTCAGAAAATAAAAAGTGCTTTTTTAAATGACACTGCAAAGAAAGTGGCAGTTGCTGAACTGATGCTTCATAAAAAACGAGCCAAAAAATTTTATAATGCCATTCAAGATGTGCAGAAACTCTGTCAAGAAAGGGATACATAGCTTGAATTAACACAAAAAAATCTAATTGTGAAAAGAAAAGTTTTTTTTTTTGCCACCAACCCCCCCTCCCTCCCTCATAGCTTGAGCCACTTTGCGGTAATGGGGGATGGGGGGTTGCGTTAGTATAAAATCTTTTGTATGTAATTATTATTTTTTAACATATTCTCATATTTAAATATTATCTCTCCTATTTAAATATTATCTCTCATCTCTCATATTAAATATTATCTTATAATTTTCTTGTTTGGCGGAGTTTAAAATAGCGTAAATTACTCTTAAAATTTACAGCCTAATTCATAATTTAAAGTTACAGTTACAGTGTAATGAGCAAGTAACGTATTTAATACTATTAAGATATTACTTTTAGTAATGGTTTTTACTTAACATGAGTAAAAAAAAGTAAAAGTAAAGACTAAGAATAAAAAGCAAACATTACAATATTTAAACCACTTTAATTAGAAAACTATTTAATACGTTCATGTTGACAATAAAACACGTGTTATTTTTAAAGAGTATTTAATTGTTATTAAAAAAGCTATAAAACAAAAATAAAACATTGCAAAGTTATTTTAAAAATATAAATAGCTTGTGTAAAACAACTGTAAAACAATGTAAAACAACTTTGTGACGCTGTTTTGTTGCTGTTTTATACAGTTTATAACCTTAATAGCATAAAACACGTTTAAAATAAAACGAAGCAAATAGATGAAATTGTTCTAATTAATAAATTAAAAAATTATCGCCATAAAACTTAATATTTGCGCAAAAACATGCCTATAGACCATACGAGTCTATAATCTATAGACCAAACAAATAAGATTAAAAAAAAAAAAATTAGATAACTTGTTTTTTATAATTTATTGTTTCTTGAGAGGACTAATGAAAGTTCAAGTATAATTAAGTTTTTCATTCAAATGGTTATTAATTTGATGTTTTCATTCATTTTTTTTATTCAAATTGTTTTAATAAAATTGAATTATATTTCCTTAAGTTTAAGAATATGAAGCAAAAAAGTTGCTAGTTTTTATTTGCATTGATTAACCATTAGAAAATTTTTTTTATAAAAATGAATTAGTATATATTTTAATATACCTAAAGTAGTAAAATTAATAAAATAAAATTGTTGATAAAATAATAATTTAAATTATTAATAATAAGTTAATTTGTTGCAACGTTTTGAAAAATAAAGATAAAAACCACGCTGTTTTGTTAAAAAAAAAGAATGAAGAAAAAATTTGCCTTTTCATCTTTTTCATCCAAAACGTCTTTTCCCTTTTCAACTTTTTGCTTTAAAGACCTTTTAAATATTAATGGCTTGCATGCAGGCACTTTAAATTCAAAAGTGTTTTACTTTGAATGAAAATCTCTGTGCTAAAGAGCAAAAAAGATAAATTTAGCGTGGTGTACTTTATGATAAAAACATTACTTTTAAGAATTGCTAAAAATAGTTCTAAACTAATAAAAAAATAAATAAACAACCAAAAAAAAAATTGCAAAAATAAATTTTTTAAGAAAAAACTAATTGCGAAGGTGTGCAAAGCAATTGCGATTCGGGATTGCGATACGCTTAATTCAATCCCTGGGATGATACACATGGCATATGTATCGATTACATGCAAAATCTCCCATTACCTCCCATACCAGTACAAGAGATTTTCTCTTATAGACAGCTCTGGGTAAGCAAATTTTGCATCCATGGTTTGAAAACTGGGAAGTTGATTTTTTTTCATATCATAAAGAAATTGCCAGGGACCAAATGAAGTATGTTTTTTTTGAAGTAATACATAGAAAAGAACGTTGAAGCAATACATAGAAAAGAGCAGATGAAAGAACTGTACATATTTTCAGATGGTTGTGCAGGTCAAAATAAGAATCATTAATCCATTATTAGATTTTTAATGAGCCTAACATCAGTAAATAAGTACCAAAAAATTTATCATTATTTTCCTGTCAGGGGTCATTCATTCCTTCCATGTGATCATAACTTTGGCACAGTTAAGAGAAAAATAAAACGTGAAGACTGATTATATACACCGGAAAAATACGAAAGTCTTATTAAAAAGGCAACAAAATTGAAACTTTTTTCAGTTCATAAAATAAGGAATGAAGAGATTTTTGATTTAAAGAAATGGTGACCACAACATTACAAAAAAAGTTGCGTATCTGTTGAAACTATGGGTAAAAATGTAGAAGATAAGAAACATTTCAATGTGTCTTTTTTCTTGGAGTTTATATATGAATCTGCTAGGCCGGTATACGTGACATGTTCAAACTTTATCGGTGGTTTTACACCTTTTATTTGAGGGAAGGAAAGCTACCCTTAACATTACCAATCGACCTGGCTTATTGTGGTTCAGTAACCATAAATAAAAAAAAGATTGACGACATACGAAAAGTTATCCAGTACATACAACAAGAACACATTAGCTTTTATGAAAAAATATTAGAATGGGCAACAGATGACACAGAAGATTTAGAAAATAATTATTATTAGGTTATTTTATGTGCTTTGATTTTATTAATTATTGTTTTTACCACATTACTTTAAATAAATTTAATTATTGAATATAGAGTACTTTTTATTTCAACAACATTCCTTATTGAGATGATGTTCACTTCATGTTTTTTGAAAAGGTTACAAGTCCACATCAGTAAAATTTTTTTTTTAAGGAAAAGTTGATGCTTCTAATAAAAAATTTCTCTGATATAAGATGTAAGATGTAAACACTTATTACTTTATATAAGCTACAAAAAAAGTTTTCATACAATTTTTTACAGGAGAAACATTTTTCACTCTCCTGTAAAATGTTATTTTTGTGACTCGTCGTGTTTTCAAAATACAGTGTTCAATTTATGTAAATTTCACTGCCTCGTCCATACAAAAATAAATTGATGAATATTAATATATATGTATATAAATAATACATATTTTATTAATTATATATATTATAAATAATAATGCATTCATTTTAATAAAACTAAATTAAGAGTTATTAAAAATTCTAATAGTTCCTATAATTAATATATTTTTACACTATTTGAAACTTTTTATTATATATTATAGTCACCATTTTATTTAGTAGTAATATGATATTACTAACATTTTTTAGCTAAAGAATGAGATGAACAACAGTTTTTGGCTAAAAAAAGTTGTAGAAAAATAAAAAATAAATTTTTTTTTAAAGAAGCCATCTGCCATTTTAAATGATTAAACTTAACATGACATTATATCTATTGTTAAAGATTTTAAGTTAGCCTCAAATATTTTGTTTTTGATGTTGGGTGTACAAACCTCTAATCAATTATCTGTTTAAAGTTTTTTGTTTTGTTTTCAATGAGATAAAATCCTCAATGAAAACAAGACATGAATAAGCAACTTTTTGCAGCTCTAGGTAAGGTTATGTATTTTTTAATATATGATTTTTTTCTATATTTTATTGCTTTATAATTTCAGATGTCCTTGCTGGGTACAATGGAACAATTTTTGCATATGGACAAACTGCCAGTGGCAAAACTCATACAATGGAGGTTGTTAAAATTAAAAATATTACCATTCTATGTGCTATTTCATTCAACTCATTAGTGTTAAGAAATGTTTTCTAAATATTTTGTTATTTATTTTTTAAAATCTATTTTAAAAGGTGCAGGCACTTATGTTAAATTTTTTTTAGTGATACGCAAGTATCTTCTGTAAACTTATTTATGGTGGTTTTAAAAAATCTCAGGTGAATCTTTTTAGTGATTCAGACATCACTGAATTATGTATAAACATGGTGGCCACAGTCCTGAAATGTCCTGGAATGTCCTGGATTTTTGAAAGTGTCCTGGAATGTCCTGAAATGTCCTGGAAAATTAGATTTTTTTCAAAAATGTCCTGAATTGTCCTGGAACTTTTTTTTTTTCTGAGTCAAGTTAAAAAATTACTAATAATATTGAAGTAATATTAAATTTTTTATGCGAAATTTTTTTTTATATAAATGGTTTGAATTTAATTTTAAATAAGAGAGTAATAATAATATGATAATATAATATTCTATTCTTTAATTTTTTGCTTATGCGACACAATGATCGCAAAAAGTGACCAACGGAGCCGTCCAGTTATGTAGACCTGGGAGATGTGAAAATAAAAACAGATTGAAGATGATGTCATTTAGGTAAAAAAACATAAATTAATGCAAAGACTATTTAGTTGGAAGAGTAAAAGTTAGCAACTCAGGAAAAGGGGAATAAAAACTCACACCCCAGTCATCTTTTAACAAATGATGAAATAATGATCTATGAGTAAACAAGTCAATAAAAATCCGCTGGTTTATAATGGTATTCATAACTAAAATAATCGCACCACACAAGTGTCTAATAAATGTGGTACTATATATGTTCTAAACTCTAGATAAAAAATTGATAACTGATAATCACCTGTGTAACATAAAAAATATATAAATGTCGTTAATGTAACAAATTCATAATAAAAAGCTCATAAAGCGCAAAAATACATGGGTTTAAGAGGTAAAAAAATGTTGGTGCCATAATAACCAATTAAAATTAAGTAGTGGATATGATAATATGATATTCTATTCTATAATTCAATCAATATAAAAATATTACATAAAGATAATTGATAATATTCATTTAATAAGATATAAAATGTCCTGGAAAACGCAACAAAATGTCCTGGAATGTCCTGGAAATGTCCTGGAATTTAACTTTTAAAATTTTGTGGCCACCATGATATAGAAAAATATTAAACTATTTTAAATATTTAGAAAATATTCAACATATCTTGATATTTTTAGTTCTTTGATTTATGTTAACAACATTCTAATGTCACTAACATAGCATACATCAGGATCATGATTCACAGGACATAAAAAATTTTCTTAAAAAAACTTTGCTATAAGTTTTAATGAGTGAGTGAAGTTTGGATTTGTCTGTATTTGCACCAAAATAGGGTCTTGTCTGGTTTTGCAGCGTTTTCATAGCATAATTGCAAACGATGTAAAAATTAAAAAATGAACTATTACAATGACTATTAATACACAGCATTGTTTACTATTGATATCACTGTCTTTAACTTTATTTCACTGCAGTTTACTCTGGACCATAATAACTGCTTACCGCTTTTGCACTTAGTCAACACCACACCACTATATTAAACTTTTGTTGAACACACGCCACCTCATCTTCGGAACAGTAGTTGTAGTCATTTTTAGGATTATTTGTATCAATAATAGGTTTACTGTCTATCAGTGTCTTGTAAGAAGCTAACTTTTGAACATTTTCCTAGCTTTCACCAAACATCACTTTAAGGAGGTTTTCGCAGTAGACAAAGGTTGGCCTTTATCTTTGAATGAAATGTTTTGCTTTTAACAGTGACTGATAATTGTTCGTACTTGTATTATAATCTTTCTCTCCACATACAGTAATAACACACTTTCCTTTTTTGACTCATGAATTCTCTTTAGTTCTTGCAGTCCAACAAGCGGTTTGCATCATATTGTTGCTGCTGCAGATGCTTTGAAATCATGTGATACCTAGTCATTAACACAAACACTTCATCAGCATGCATTTTGAAAATCTCATGATACTTTTCAGGTGTAGTGATATTTGACTTGCTTGCTGTGTCTTGTGATATTCTTCAAAATAGGTGGTCACATGGTAAAGAGGAATGACCTCATACTAGAATAATCAACAACACATATTTAATCTGGTTTCTGCCACTGACAGTTATCTTGTGCAGCCAATGCTGAATCATGCCTAAAATGATGATGTTTTTGTTCTGCCCTTCACAACCATCGCTGAATAATTCAACATGTGACACTTGCCTAGAACTGCCAAAACTAACAAAGACCTTACTAAGAAGGTGGTACACAGTACTTGCTTGTTCTTCAGTACAGTTATTATACATTTTCCACAAGTTTTTACAACTTTTTAATTCATACAGCAGATATATGCAAAAACAATTGCCTTTAATTTATAACACTTGTATGTTGAACCTTATTTGTGTTTTCAGGTAGCCCCCCAGTCTACATTTTTTGACAAGTCCACTGTGTATCTGTAACAAAACATACAAATGACATTGAGAGAGGTTATTGAAGGGGAAGGATGGAAAGCAAGAGAGTGGAGGTAGGTAGAGAAAGGGTAATTTGGAAGACTTAATGAAGTAATGAGTAAGAGAAAATAAAACGAGGTGCTCAAAACAGATAAGTGTGGAGCAAGTGGATGCCAAATTAGAACTAAAATCAACATAAAAAAAAAAAATACTTTATCTTTGCAACTAATTGCTTTGTCTTAATAATCTTCCGTTTTCTAGACCATTACTAAGTTCTCCAACAAACTCTAAATTGTCTACATCTTCGTAATTAATTTGTATTATAACAGGTCTCTTAATAACTATTAATAACTAAAGTGCAGTTTAAATATTAAAACAATGCAAAATGCAGTTTGCAACCACTATCGTTTTTTTTTTTAATTTTAAGTTTCAGTAAACATCACATGGTTTTTTTGATAAATTTGATTTGTTTTGGATTTGTCTGACTTTGCAAAAAATGAAATGTCTGCTTTTGTACAATATTAGTAACTTGTTTATTTTTATTTTAATTTTTGTTTTTTACAAAATTAATTTAATTATATTTTTTATAATAATACAAAAACTAAAATTACAAAAATAAAATAATCATACAAATATTGATACAGCAATAAATAATTATAAAAATAGTATTAAATTTTATAAATATTTATAAAAAAAGTATTAAATTTTATAAATATTTATAAAAATAGTATTAAATTTTATAAATTAATACCTTTTTTTAATATATTTAACTATTAACTGACAAGCTTTTCTCGAAAAATATCGAATTTTTTTTAGTTTTTGTTTAACCCTTTACTTCACCAAATCAAACCAAAAATAAAAAATATTATTAAATGTTTTTTTTTTTACTTCTATAGTATACTATTTCATGTCCAAAAAAAATATTTATACTTTTATGATTTATTTAAAAGATATGGCAATGTTTGCATCGTTGCTGTTTTTCAGAAAAGTTAGGCAAGTGACCCACATTGTCTAAGCAGATTTCCCTAGCTGGAGCATTTACTGCGCAGCATTTTTTTTTTACAACAGGTGTATCACTTCTTGGTCTGCCTCGAGAAACTTTTTTTTCTCTTAATAAAGAGTCTGCGATGCATGTTTGGAACTCTAATAGTTGAATTATGTTTTTCCTGGTATATCCATTTTGTTTACAATGCCTTTTATATAAAATCCAACCATTCACTATTGCTACATTGATACAATAATAAATTATATGCATATACCATTTTTTTGTACCTAGCTTAATTCTATACAATGCCATCAACATATCACATAAGTCAACCCCACCCATATGCTTATTATAATGATGTATCATATCTGGGCAAGACACTTTTACAACAACTTTGTCTTTGCTAGACCAGCGATTAATTGAATCTCCTAATGATGGACCAATAAATGTAGATGCTAGTTGTACCACTCCATTATCCATCCAACATATAACTGTTATGTTAGAATTAAAATCGACCCGGTAATCTAATGAGCCACGTCCCATTTTTTCTAGTTCTTTTTTTTTAAACATTACTTTTTCAGCACCATGCAAGCGGTTATTACAAATGGTTCCAACAGTCCATATTCCAAGATCCTTAAGAGTGTTAAACAATTTTATGCTTGTAAAAAGATTATCCATGAAGATTTTATGTCCAATATTGTTTGGCAAATGTGTAACGAGTTTAAGCACTGCTGCTCCAACATTACCATATTCTTTAGAAATATCAGTATTTTCTTCCTTGCCAAGATAGATAGTAAAATCATAAAGCAACCCGCTGACTCCACATCGTGCCCAGACTTTTATGCCCCATTTGTGCGGCTTCTTTGGAAGATATTGTCTGATCGGACACCTTGATTTTGTGGGAATAATTTGCTCATCAATAGACTGACATTCTTCTTGTTCTACTAACCTGCACATATCAAGAACAGATTGCACAATTGGTCTAACTTTGTACAAATGATCATATTCTGCTGTGCCTTTTTTTGGCATGTATGTGTTATCATTTACATGAAAATATTTTTTTAATAACTCAAATCGTTTTAAAGCCATAACTTCTGCAATTGATGCACATTTAGTGTGTTGAGACCAATACATTCTATATTGTGGATATTTTAGCACGCCCATAGTAATTAGTATCCCAATAAACTGTTCAATTTCATCACAATTAGTATTAATAGATTTTCCAGTTACTTGCACAGAATATAAGTTTGTCTGATCAGCAATGACTTTGAATAGTGCTGCATTAAAAAATTCATTGAAGTATTGCCTTGGTGACCATTCCAAATGTGGAGTCTTCTCGAATTCTTCACCTTTAAAACTAGAATCAACATTGTGAGGTGATTGCTTGCGCCAACGATAATCATTTTTACTGGCTCTTCTTACATTTTGTTTGGTTATGACATTCTTTTGTACTATTTTTTGGTTTCCTTTAGATTTACTTTTATGACTATGAATACTCTCATTATCAAAAGCTTCTGTTTCACTTGTTGATTCATTCCTAGATTCACTTTCTGATTCAGTTGATTCATTTTCTGATTCAATAACAAAATCAACTTCATTGTTTGATTTGCAATAAACTGGTTTAACTATGTCAGTGGTTTCGTCATAACTTTCAGATTCACTTTCAGAAAATTCACTTAATTCTGGGTCAGAAAGATAAATAACATTGACAATTCCTTGTTCACCATTATCAGTTTTAAATCTTTTTTTATTATAAAAATTATTGACCCTTATACAAGTCATCAAAAATGATCAAATTTGATATTTATACTATAAAAATATAAATTCTATGTGAATATATATTTATATATATAAATATATATATATATATATTTTTTTAAATTTATATATATATATATATATATAACAACATTGCGTAGATAATCTACGCAATGTTGTTGTACAACAACTAAGTAACTTTAATCATTTTTACCCATGAAAATTGTTATTTAAAATAAATTAAGTGTGAAATTAAAATAATAATAAATAATTTATATTATTTTATTTTTCTTACACTTTCTAGACAAAAATATATACGTAAATACAGACACAGAATTTCAGAGTTATAGAAACGGCATCACTACTACAGTTTTTCATCTTGCATAACATTATTACATGCAAAAAATAGTCCTTCAGAGCAGGAAAATAATTTAAATTTAAAGACTTATATGTCATTGTTAATTCTGTACATTCTGCAAATTCAATGTTATCTTAATTTGGTTTATTTAAAAAAAATTTCTACTGTTGTTGTGCAACAACACCGCGAAGTAAAGGGTTAAATCTGTTTTTAGAAGCCATTAGTTGCAATCATAGAATAGAATAATAGACAATAGGTAGAATTAAGGTAATAATAGAATTGACAGGAGGTATCAAATAAGTGTGTTTTAAAGTTGAAGAGGCTACCTAATCTTTTTTTTTAAATTGAGTTGATGCAGTGTAGTGCAGAGATTTTTACTGATATAGCATAGGTAGGCAATATTACAAAAATAATTTCTTTGTTCTCAAAAGTCAATTAAAGGTTAAATTTCTTTTTTAATATATATAAAAAAAAGGGTTAAAAGCCTCCTCAAACCTTCTAAAAGTCAATTAATGTCATAAGCAACAAGTAATTGTCTGAAACTGTTTTCTATTATACTTCTCAAGATAACTTTTTATTAAATAAAATTTTTTGGCTTGGGCCAGTTCTGAAAACTTGGTTTTTACTAAATTTTTCTGACATCAATTGATTTAAAGCTTTTTTTAACTGAGACAGCTAAGTGAAGTCAAGCTGGTATATCTGGCTTCATTTCTTTTTCTTTTTTTTTACACTATTTTAAATGCTTTTAATTGCAGAAATCTCTTCTTCTAAATAAAGAAACCAAGTAATTTCAGTTGAAATTTTAAGGTTGATTGAGTAGTAAATAATTAAAGACTAGTTGTTACAGACATTTTTATTGGTCTTTAGTTAGAGGTCACACATTTTTAAAAAGGGGTGTTATCAAGCTTGATGTCTATTGTAAAAGTGCTTTGTTTTTATTGAAAACTGTTGTTTAATTTTTTATTTATTTTTATTGATAAAGATTATTAAGTCTATTAATTGAAAAATAGTTTAATTATTTTTGGATGCAAAAAAAAATAAAATCACTTTTCTTTTCCTTTTTTTTTAATTTCTGGATTTTGTTTTTTTACCTACTTTTTACCTCTTTTGATATTGCCAAATAGAGTAGGTCATCTTCAGCCAAAGGTATTTTTTTGTTTTTACCCAGTGCTAGAATAACTAGTTTTGACTTTTCTGATATGTTGACACGCAATATGTATAAAAAATTGAAGAAAAACATTATGGTTCATTTTTATCAAATGGCAGAAGAAGAGTTAATGAATGCGCTGAACAAAATGACAATTAGGTGATTTTAGAGCAAACTTTAAGTGCCAAATATAAAGTATGCAATTGGATTTCCAGTGATTTCCATTCCTGTGAATGGCTGTCAACTGATGTGTGAAGTTATTAAGGTTGAGCTTTCACTCAAAATTCACAGGTAAATCTGTAAACTTGATTTACCTCGAACATTATGTTGGTAAATATTGGTAAATAATGACTTTCGCTGTACTGTGCTAAAAATTAAACAATTCATTTGAAATCCCCAATTATAAAATTAATTTTCTTTACTTTGCTAACTTAGTAAATAATATTTTGCTGTTAAAATAAACTAAGATTTTAAAAATTTTCATATGGTTTCTTTATCACCGTTAGAAATGCACATATCATTCCTAATGTTATGTATATTGTTTTCCTTTGAAAATTAGAACTCCTCTGACTGATATTTCTACATATTTTGACTTGCAAAATATGTAGAAATATCAATAAATACTCAAGTTCCACAACTGGTTTGTGGTATCACCTAGACAAAAAGCATGGAATCAAAAAAAAAAAACAAAACAAAAAAACACAGTAAAAGTTATCATCAAATGCTGCAACAGAATCAAAAATGTCTAAGGTTTCAACTTTTTTTCTATATATATTTTTTTTCTTTTATAATTTAACCATCTTTGGGTAAAAATTATTTAATCCTTCAGTGTTCTAATTTCAGGAACTCACCCCTTTTAAAGTTTGTATAAGTATGTAAGGATATTGTGTGCCAACATATAAATAAATAGCAAACATATGTCTATACCTGTATATATCCATGTTATATGCCAGTATTTAATAAATAGTAAATATATGCATAAAATTATAATATATGTATTATAAATTTTTTCCTAGTCCCAGCTATCAACCCCTGCTAAATTTTATAATTTTTCCAAGGCTGGAGCGAGACTTGTAAAAAGACTCATATATAGCCGGGGCCAGGGCCCGAATCACTTAATTCTTAGTATAAAGTATAAAATATGCTTTAATGGTATCCTGTCTTTTTAAATGTAAACCTCTAAAAGATCAATAGAAAAATCAAAAAGCATAACAAATTATGATCTCATCTGGTTTCAAGTAAAAAACTAGTTTCTTATTTGTGTAAGATATTGCATCTGATGTTGATTAAGATATTGCATCTGATGTTGTCTAAGTATAGCTTTTATTCTATTCTGCACATTTGTGCTAAACAATACAAGAAAAATATCTTTAGGATTTCAAATATTTAAAAACTGTATTATTCAAATAGACTACATGAGTATTGTTTGTAATATGTTTGCTGATGTTCTTGGCATATATCAAACTTTGTTTGTTTCCATTACTATTCATTGAAGCAGGGTCCTTGTGCATTTAAAATTTTTTTTTTAAACAACCTGTCTTCAAGGTTGTTGTATGGACAAATTTTTTTTTTTTCTTGTTATTTCACCTCCCCAAGGCCGAGAAGGCCACTACAGATGAGGAGGCTAATTAATTGTGGTTATAACCCTCTCTCAACTCTATAACTCCAAAACACGAACCTTGATGAACAAGGCCGCTGCGCGGAGAAACAAGTTGAGCGTGGTACTACCAGAGATGTGGTGGGGATCAAACTTGGAACCTCTTGCTTATGAAGCGAGCGCTTCATAATCAAGAGGTTCTATATAACTTTAACCATTTTCTATAATGGTTTAAATTATAAACAATTTTAAAAATTTGATTTTATCTTTGATTAAAGAAAACTTTATAGTTATGATCAAGCAATTCTCCTCTATTTATATGCCGTAATATTTGCCAAGAGAGAATATGATAAACAGATAGATATGTGTTGTGTCATAATCTTATACAGAGGCTAAGAATAGTGAGAGTTTTGTACAAGGTTTAAAAGAGAAGATTAAGGTAGTTTAGGTATGTTGAGCAATGAGAATGCAGATGCAGATTTAGGTATTAGCATGTAGAGAAGTAGCAGCTTCAGGAGAAAAAGGTTGAGTTAGATGTAAGGAAACTTGGAGAGAGTGCCTTACATATAGTAAGTGAAGTAACATATATGTTAAACTTCAGTTTGAAAAATTAGGTGCCTAAAATTTTATATATATATATATATAACATAAATTTAAAATAGAAATAGTATCTTTTTAGGAGGTATCAACATTTATGCAGTCCCAGTAAGAAACACGGCCCTAGCCCCAACTATATTTTATCAAACCCAGCCTCGACCCTGTCAAATTTCAACAGCGGTTGTTTACTAATACTAAGGGCCTGCAGCTATTGATTATTTCGAGGAAGTTTGGTTTGATGTGGTACAAAATTATATTATCATTTTAAACCATTTTGATATGCAGATGCTTACCCTATACAGCTATTGGTTATTTTGCCAAAAAATAAGTTTGCACAAATTGCATGACCTGGAGATAATTATGTAATCTATATTTATTTTTTTGCTTCTTATATTTATAATCTGATATAAATATTTTTAGGGTGTTATTGGAGACCCTATATGGCAAGGAATTATTCCTCGTATTGTTCAAGACATTTTCAATTATATATACACCATGGATGAAAACTTAGAATTTCATATAAAGGTATGTCAAAAGATTTTTATTTAATATAGGATTTTTGTTTCATATAAATAAAGAAAAAAGTTTTTTGTTTCATATAAATAAAGAAAAACGTTTTTTGTTTCATATAAATAAAGAAAAAAGATTTTTGTTTCATATAAATAAAGAAAAATGATTTTTGTTTCATATAAATAAAGAAAAATGATTTTTGTTTCATATAAATAAAGAAAAATGATTTTTGTTTCATATAAATAAAGAAAAATGATTTTTGTTTCATATAAATAAAGAAAAATGATTTTTGTTTCATATAAATAAAGAAAAATGATTTTTGTTTCATATAAATAAAGAAAAATGATTTTTGTTTCATATAAATAAAGAAAAATGATTTTTGTTTCATATAAATAAAGAAAAATGATTTTTGTTTCATATAAATAAAGAAAAATGATTTTTGTTTCATATAAATAAAGAAAAATGATTTTTGTTTCAGCATCATTAGGTTGTAAAATATTACAAAAATTTCAATCGTTATTGTTTATATAAAATTGTTACTATTGGCGTTAGCGGTTGAATAGCTTCTTTTGATTTTTAAGTTTTGAAAATGGCCTCCAAAACATAGTTTTGACATATTGGCCTTCATCAAGATTAATTCTGCTGTTTCGTTTAGAACACATGTCGTTTTGTATTTCTAGTGCCTCTAATTTTTCTTTCAAACTTTTTATTTTCTACCTTTAACGTTCTTGTTTTTTCCCAAATAATATTTTTTTTGCAAAAAGTTTTATGAAATGCTAATGCAGATTGATTAGGTTTGTTTTCATTAATGCTCTTCTGATGTTGATGCATCCGCGTGTTTACCTGCATTTATGTTTCACCTATGTAAACTTTAGAGCAGTTGCATTTTATTATATAGGTTCCAGGCTGGCTGTTACTTGGTAGTTTTGTTTTGTTTTTTGATGTTAATAAAGATCTTAAATTTGGGTTTGATTTGGGGAAGACCCTACAAGAAGATTATTGCATTCTGATGGAATTGTGTTTTTATTTTGTCTTTTTTGATGAAATTGGTGTGTAATATTCCTCAATAGCTTTTCATTGTACCCATTTTCAATAAACATGTCAATTAAAAAATCTTTGTTTTGCAAATGATGTTTACTACAGATGGAGTAAGCTCTGTGGAGAAAACCATTAAATATAGCTGTTAAAATATTTGGATTGTGGTTTGAATATGGTTTAATTTAAATGTTAGTGATGGCCTCTTTTCGATATACTTTGTACTCATATTTTCTTAGTGTGTTATTTGTAATGGTTATATTAAGAAAATTAAGCGTTATTGTCTCGTTTTCAATTTCAATTGTGTATTGTATTGCAGGATATTGTTGATTTAAAATATTCTGGAACTGTTTTGCTTGTTTGATGTTAGAAAATCTTGCATGACTATTGTCAATGTATCTTAAAAATGATTTAAAGTTAAGTGCAGGATTTATAGTCAAAGCCATTTTAATTGCATTTTCATAAACTATAATAATTAAAATTATTGTAATATTTTACAAGCTAATGATGCTGGTATCCATAACCCAGCGAAAATTTCTTCTATAATAAAATTATTTGTATTGAGAGAAACTGTATTTCTTGATGTTTTAAAATTATATATATATATATATATATATATATATATATATATATATATATATATATATATATATATATATATATATATATATATATATATATATATATATATATATATATATATATATATATATATATAACAATGTTCTCTTTTTTTTAGGTTTCTTATTTTGAAATTTATTTAGATAAAATTAGAGATTTATTAGATGGTAAGTTTATTTACACAAATTAAATATAAAAATCTTATAGTTTTCATAATAATATATTGTTATACTTTATGCATTTTTATAAAATAATATTAATCATTTTAGTTTTTAAAGATAATGTTGTATAATAATGTTATTTAAAATTTCATTACAATAAAAAACTACATTCTCATACAAATTATACTATTCATTTTATTATAATAGGTAGCTCAATAAGTTTTTTGTTAGGTTTAATAGGGGAAAGCATCTAAAGCACTAAAAAAAACAGGCAGGTCAACCAAAAATTAAAAGTACTTTAAACCTTTATAAAACTTAAAAATTTTTCTACCCAATAATTTTATATTTATAAAGTTTTATAAAATAAATTTCACTGATTCTTTCAACACTTAACAACAAAATTTTTAATTTAAAAAAAGTTCAAAATATAAAACTCCAAGTTTCTTTTTTTATATAATTTTTAATTTTATTTAATCCCAGTAAAATTTATGTTAAACATGCAAATATCCATGTAAAAATAACAAAAAAGGGATAAGACACTAAGCAACATGACTTTTTGAAGATTGTCAATACGGAATTTGACTCTCCTTTCTTATTATAAACCAGAGCAATATTAAAGTACGAGTTTTGTAGGTATAATTTGTTGATTCTAATTATGAACAGCAACTATCAACACAGTTGCATATATATTACATAATTACTCAAAATACTTTAGATTAACTGTAATGGTAGATATTTAAAAGTTTTTTTCTTAAATCTTTTAGTTACCAAGACAAATTTAGCTGTTCATGAAGATCGTAATCGTGTCCCATATGTCAAGGTATAATAATACTTGTGTTTGTTGACCTATCTATCAATTTACATGTGTTGGTATTTATACTCTTTCAATTATTTGTATATATATATATATATATATATATATATATATATATATATATATATATATATATATATATATATATATATATATATATCTATATATATATATATATATATATATATAATATTGTTCTGATGATCATAAAGTTCATTATATATATGAAAGAATATAAATACTGAAGTCTTAATACTGTGTTTTAAGAACTTTACAATGATCAATTACTTTTTATCAGCATATGTTACTAATTCTACTACAATGAAAATTGTTGTAGCAATTGCGCTGTAGCATGTGAAAAATGGTTTTTATAATTAATGGACATTTAGTAGTCCTACATATGTATTATTCACATAAACATTGGCTTTCTGCACATGAAGAAGTGCCTCTTTTAACCTTGCTTCATTCTACATTCATATTACTTTGCATATACCCTTTGCATATATCCTTTGCATATATTCCTTATGCTGCATTGTAGCAAAAGTCAAAATATTTTTCAAAGAACTATCGATAATTCATGATTAGTCATGATTTGATTCTATTTCATAATTGAAATCACTCTTTACTTGAAGTTAAAATTATCAGACTCTGGTTTTGTTTATGTTTTTTTAACAAAATTTTTCTGTCTTTATTTTTGAAACATGATATATATATATATATATATATATATATATATATATATATATATATATATATATATATATATATATATATATATATATATATATATATATATATATATATATATATATATAAATTTATATTTTACATGATATAATTTAATTTTCATTGTTATAATAAAGGGTGCAACTGAAAGATTTGTATCCAGTCCTGAAGAGGTGCTGGGTGTCATATCTGAAGGAAAAGCAAATCGCCATGTTTCAGTTACAAGTATGTTTTATTACTTTTTATTTTCTTCATTATGGTTGACTTTTATGAACAGATTTGTATTCATTTTTATTATTTTTTAATTTTTTTTATTTTTATAACACAATAGAAGTAAAATGTTAATTAACTTAGTATTTAAATAATAAAAAATACATGGTTTGTTTATTATTCATTTCAAAATTTGTTGTTATCAAGCATTTTTGTTAACATTTGAAAAAAATTAGTTTATAAAAATTGTTCTTAATCACATTTAAATTTATATTATATTACTCAGCGTGGAAAATAATGTCCGGTCAACATCAACGACAGCCAGATATGACTAAAATTGCTATTGTGACCTCTCAAAATGAATTATTGCCGGTCATGGTTGACTGGTTGAAAAAAAAAAAGAATTTTGAAAAAATTCTTTTTCTTTTGTTTTGTTTTTGAAGCTTTATTTTTAATTTTAAATATGACGTAAACTATATCTATTAATTTTTTGCTTCACTTATTTAGATAATTTCATTTTACAGGTGGTAAAAAATCTTTTTTCATAAATGATTAAAGTTTTTATTTTATTATTTTAATAAAATTATTTAATACATCGTTTTAATAATATATAATAATTTTTGTATTTAACTAAGAACATTTTTTTTTCTTAAACTTTGTTTTTCTTTACTTTAAATCTTTGTATTTAATTTCTCTTAAATTTTTGCAGCAAATAAATGAGTTATAATATATATATATATATATATATATATATATATATATATATATATATATATATATATATATATATATATATGTATATATATATATATATATATGTATGTATATATATATATATATATATATATATATATATATATATATATATATATATATATATATATATATATATATATATATATATATATATATATATATATATATATATATATATATATATATATATATATATATATATATATATATATATATATATATATATATATATATATATATTAGGGTGCATCATTTTTCAACAATTTTTTCAAACTAAGTTCCAACCACCTGGATTAGTTGACCGGTTGGATAAAAATGATTTTACGCTAAAAAAAAATTTGAAACCCATTTTTAAGGTCCCTTCTTTTACAATTTGCGCCCCGAAACCCCAACTTTTTTAACAAAAAAGTGGGGACCTTAAACATTGACATAAAACATCAATTTTTTTCTATGAACTCTAAAAGGCCTAAATATTAATTTGGAATTGGTTGGGAAGTTTACAATAAAAAAATATATACTAATTTAGGTCAAGAAAATTTGCATAAAGCGCACTAAGTGTAAAAACTAAAGTATAATTTTCAAGTATATTTAAATAGAATGAAGCTTGTGATCAAATTTAACTCACGTGTGTCACAAACAAAAATCTCCTATAGGAGGGTTAGAGGTGGGCTGCGGATAGTTTGTTTCATTCACACCCCTCCTGCATCTTTTTTATTTATTTTTACAGAATATTTATTTACCATCTACCTTGAAGTTTTATTTTTACATATAGTTTTATTAGATTTTCTAATTGTTGAAATAAACGACAAGTTCCTACCAACCAACTGTGACAAGCTAGGTGGTTTCTCCTGAAGTCTTGATCTTACATAAGGATTGGATTTTTAGACTTCTCACTTTTTCTTTTCATCATTTTCGACTTCTTTATCTGCGAGACATAATGGTATCAAAGTTTGATCTAAATACCACGTATGTCACTACATTAGTTTCAACACTTCTTCAATTCCCTCTAGTATATCATTAGCTCATGGATCATAAGATTCTACCCAACGTTTATACATATGACCATCTGTTAGTACGCTTTTAAATATTGATAAGGTGCAGAGAAAACTAAAGAAGAGCACACAAACCACACAATATAAAATATAGAAAAAATTTCTGCCATTTTACTGATTTCTTTTTGTAAACAAGCTGTCAATTGGTAGGGCAACTGATTACTTAAAACTTGAATTTTAATATAATATATAGACTTTGCCATAAAACAAGAATGGGAAACTGATCTGGGAGCATAAAAAAAAAAGCTTACATAAGTAGGTGAGTGGACATAAGTAGGTGAGTGTAATATCTACTAGTTCTTTATAATCACCTCTTGGAAATACTAAATTGGCAAGTGCATATTTGCAAAATTGAACAATTCTTTTGATCTGTTTTTCTATATGCGTTCCTTTAACTGCAGCTTTGTCAAACTTTTTGAACTTTGATTTACCCATAGTTTCTTTCATTGCGTTCCAATTAGCTTGGAAAACTTCTTACTAAAAATGTTTACAGTGAAGCTCGTAAACATGTCTTCGACATGCAAGCTGTAATATAATTAAACCCTGTGTTTGACAAAACCTAATGTTTGTGCAGGAATGTTTTTCTGTATTAGTTGCAGTTGTGTCAAAGCACAGACCCTTTATATAAGTTTTTAGCTTATATTCATCAAAAATGTTTATTAAAGTATTATGATGAGATTGTCCAGTACCATTTTCCAAAGGCAGAATGCCAAGAAGTCTTAAATCACCATCGATATTTACAAGAACAGCAAAATGATCTCTTTTTTGTTTTGTACCATATGTAATATCATGCAAGATTTTTCCATCAAAGAGTGCAATTGTTGGAAATTTACTTTGACTTGCAGCTTTTATTATATCTTCTCGATATTTAGCTGCACTTGTATTTATTGCTTTCTTTTTTGCACGTCTGATAGTAGATTCAGAATGCGAGAAATCTGTCAAACTGCCCCCAAAAGTAACTACTTTGTCAGAGAGCAAGTTCATCATATTTCTAAATGAAATATTATTAGAAACACCTGTAATTGCAACTTCTTTTGCAAAGTTTTAGGTAATACTGTTGAAGCACTAGTACCTGATTTAATTTTGCCTGCTGAATAGTCGGAATCTTGACAGAAAGAGACCTCACTTTATTCTGATGATAAAAACTTAATTTTCTCAGTTTGATCCTCTTGTTGCTCAATAAATGTTAGATATTGCAATCTTCTTCTATCTTTTTCAGCTTTCGGCAATATGCTAAATCCTTTGCACCAAGTGTTTTCTTCATTTGATCGTTTAAAAATTGCTTATCTGAGTTGTATGAATCTAGGTGTTTCAATTTTTCTTCTTCAAAATGGAGCAAATATCAGGTTTTCCAATCCAAAAAACTTTGTTAGCATTTTTTCAAAAGATGATCTAGCTAATTCTGCTGCGTTGCCTTTTTTTATTTTTATTTTTTTCAATGTTGTCCATTTTTCAACGAAACCATTTAATTGTTTCCTAGAACATATAATATTTATTAAACTTTTTTCTAATTGCTTTAAAATTTTTTAACATATCAGAGGCAGAGTAAAAAGAATCATGTTAACAAGTTAATAAAAGCAAAAGTAAAATTCGGTAAAAATAAAAAAACTCTAATTATAGGTTATTTAGCAAACCTAATGTGTTTATCATGAAATATGCCTCTGTCATATTCTCCATCGATCTACGGTTTCTTTATAGCAAAAAGGATGCAGTTCTGAGGACATATTGCTAGTTCAGAGCATGATGGCGTCATTTTATGTTGGGAAACACAACCAATCAAAGTTTTGGTGGGAGTATTTTTGTCTAACAGACGCCTGAGTTATTAAGATTAGATTTAGATTTTATATATTTTGTTTTTCAAACTGAAATTTAGTTACTTGGTGAATATATTGAATGATAACTTTTAATCAGTTTAATGTTTTAATCATGCCAGTAATGAAAATGAAGAATAATTACCTAATTTGTGGCAAACTGTGTTTCAGAAAGTTTTTGTAACACTTTTTTTCTTTAAATAAAAATGTCTTTGAATGTGATTTTGTAATTTTTGGTAGCATCTTTACTTTTTTTTAAACCATCATTTTATTTGTGATTTTTAAAGTAAAAGTTATAAATTGCAGTTTATAATAAAAAAAATATTCTTAGTATAGTATGGCACAAATTCGTTTTTTAATCTTTTCTATTTTTTTAGAATAGATAGTTCGAAAAAGAAAGATTGTTTTTGTTTGTGACACACGCAAGTTAAATTCGATCGCAAGCGTCATTTTATTTAAATATACTTAAAAAATTATATTAAGTTTTTTAAGTGCGTTTTCTTGACCTAAATTAGTATATATTTTTTTATTGTAAACTTCCCAACCAATTCCAAATTAATATTTAGGCCTTTTAGAGTTCATAGAAAAAAATTAGTGTGTTATATGAATATGTTTAAGGTCCCTACTTTTTGGTTAAAAAAGTTGGGGTTTCGGAGCACAAGTTGTAAAAGCTGGGACCTTAAAAATAGGTTTCTAAAATTTTTTTTAGCGTAAAATCATTTTTATCCAACCGGTCAACTAATCCAGGTGGTTAGGATTTAGCTTGAAAAAATTGTTGAAAAATGACGCATCCTAATATATATATATATATATATATATATATATATATATATATATATATATATATATATATATATATATATATATATATATATATATATATATATATATATATATATATATATATGTATATATATATATATATATATATATATATATATATATATATATATATATATATATATATATAGTATATATATATATATATATATATATATATGTATATATATATATATATATATATATATATATATATATATATATATATATATATATATATATATATATTCAGTGAATATTTCGTTTTACGTAAAATCAGTAGTTTTATAGTTGTGTTTCATAAAACGATTGTCCTCTTAATATTAAGTATTCAGTTTAGCGAAAACTAACAACATTGTTAACTAATTAACATTAACAATTTTCAAAATGATTTTAATGAGCAGAGAAATAAGATGTAAAATTATTTTTCTTTAATGTCATTAACTATAAAGTTTAAACTTCTTATTTTTTTATTATTTTAAATTGTTGTATGTAACTAAGAATATTTTCTCTTCCAATTGTACTTTTTTTTTTTATTCAATCTTTACATTAAATTTTCTTGTAGCTTTTCCTGCCATTTGCAATAAATTATTTGTAAATAAATTTAAAATTATCAATAGCGCGTTTGCAAATTTTTATTATTAATGAAGGAATCAGATGAAGCATATATATTTGAAAATATATTTTTAGTAAAAACTTTGTTATAAGTAACTGTTATAGTAGCATTTCACAAAATGATTTCTTTTAGTATTCAGTTCAAACCTTTTGAATATTTTATAAAAATTGTTTTATTTAAAAAAAAAAAAAAATTCAAAATTAAATTACTTGAATGTTATCAAACTTTCTTTTTTGATTGAGCGGAAATCTGTGTGCACGAAAATTACTATTAACATTAGTTATGTTTGTTATTTGGTAATTTGAAAGTTAATTATTTGTGTTTTCATTTAAAAATGCTTTTATTTAAAATTATTGTTTTAAAAGAAATACAAATTCGTTAATTTTCCAGCATTATTCTTTATTTTTGTACGTAGATAACTCAGTCATAACAAACTGTTACTTAGATAAATATTTAAACATTTAAAAAATAATAAATTTGACTGTCAATTCCATGTATTAGTCGAATTGACCACTCGCCTTTAATTTCTTATTTTCCACGCTGGATTACAAAAATCTTTAATACATTGATAATAGCTGAATAAAAAAATTTATAAAATTGATGGCTTGTTTTGTCAATATGATATTAATATATTATGTTATGTTTTTTGTATTGAATGTTGCGAGGTCCCAAATATAAAATAAAAAGTATAGCATATATTTATTATCAATGAAGTGAAAAATTAAACAAAAAATATCTTTTTACACTTTTTTTTTTACAATATATTTTTTACACTGTTTTTAAAGTTGTTTTTGTTAAATGTTGTTATTGTTTTAATTTTATTTTATAGTTAAAAATATTTAAATATGCTTTAGACATGAATGAGCATAGTTCGCGAAGTCATAGTATATTTCTTATTAATGTAAAACAAGAAAATACAGAAACACAAAAAAAGCTGAGTGGAAAGCTGTACCTTGTTGATCTGGCTGGTTCAGAGAAGGTTTTAATGAATTTTAATTGTCAATATAAGATTTTAAACATTTTTATGTTTTAGATATAAAAGTTATTTTTATTTTTTAGGTTAGCAAAACAGGTGCTGAGGGAGATGTACTGAATGAAGCAAAAAATATAAACAAATCATTATCAGCTCTTGGTAATGTCATAAGTGGATTAGCAGATGGTAATAGTAGTTATATTCCCTACAGGGATAGCAAAATGACAAGGATTTTACAAGAAAGTTTAGGTGGAAATTCTCGTACAACAATAATAATTTGTTGTTCCCCATCATCATTTAATGAAGTAGAAACAAAAACAACTTTACTGTTTGGACAAAGGTTTACTTTTTTTTTTCTTTTTTTTTTGGTTTCCTTAATATTTTTGTTGTATATATATATATATATATATATATATATATATATATATATATATATATATATATATATATATATATATATATATATATATATATATATATATATATATATAAATAAAAGGTAAGATGAGAAAAAACAACTTTTTTACGGTACTTAAAGTTTCATGCTGTTTTCGGCACTCATCAGCCATATATTTAAATCAAGAAAAAACCGTTCAAAAATACAATTAAAAAACCGTTACAAAATTCAAAAAAAACAATGGAATGAGTTCTGACGTCAAATAATTATAATACAAATAATAGCAAAAATAATAATGATTATAATAATAATAATAATATAATAATAACAATAATAATAATAATAATAATAATAATAATAATAATAATAATAATAGCAATAATATTAACAATAATAGTAATATTATGGAAAAAACATATTTTCTAATCGCCAGTGTCAAATTGAGAAAGGAGGAATCTGTTTCTATGTCTGCACTTAGAAACAATCTCACTCCTTTTATTTAGTAGATTGGTATTTTTATAATTTAGGATTTCATATTTTTCGGTGAGACATAATTTACAAGATTTGGATGTAGGATTATATGCTTTACATTGCCTGAGAATTTTCCACTTAACTATAGGAACTAAATTGGCTTCTTTTATTTTCCATACCTGCTTTGACAGCTCAGTATCATTTTTGTATTTTGGGATGTTAAAAGATTTAACGTGGTTAGCGTATCTCAATTTAAAAGAAGTCTCACTTACACCGATGTAGGATTTTTCGTTAGAAGATGAATCACTAGTGGTGGTTACAGTTGCTTGGTATACAATGCTGCTTGTTAAACATCTATTGGACAACGGGCAGAAATTTTTATCTAAGCAGTTACAGTTTTCTTGATTAGAGTTTGCATCGTTGTATAAAATGTACTTGTTGTGCGAATTTATGATCGATTTCACACTTGGCATACAACTGTAGCTAACTTTGACTGTGTTCCTGTTAAAGATTTTATGTAGTTTGTTATTATTAGGAAAATGTTTGCCAATTAATTTCAAAAAACATTTTCCTACGTTGGTGCTAACATTTTTGCTAAATGGAGGATTAAACCAAATGATGTTGCGTGCTCTGTTCCGTTTTTTAGTTGATATTGCTTTAGGATTATATGTTAGATTACATTTAAAACCAGACTTTAATAAAGCCTCATTATATAGAGGAATAGCCTGTTGAAATATTTCTTTGGTAGAAGAATTTGTAGATAATCTAAGTTCAACCGAGTGTGGTATTTGTTTTAGTATACTTGGAGGGTGATTTGAATCAGCATGGATATAATTTAATGTATTATCAGGTTTGAGATAAGGTTTAAAGGTGCACTCACTAAGATTTAGAGTGACGTCGAGGTAGTTGACAATTTTCATGTTGCATTGTATAGAAATCCGTAAGCCATTGTATTTAAATATTTCGGAAAGATGCTTTTTTATTTTTTCCATTTGAGGGCCGCTTTTATTCCTAAAAACTGCTAATCCATCATCACGGTATAAACCAACCTCAAACTTGTTATAAAATTTTGAAATTTCGAAAAGAAGAAATATTCCTACAAGCTCACAAACCTCCGCGCCGTCAAAAGCTCCCATGGAAACATCAAATAAACCACTTGATTGCTTTATCCAAACCTGATTATTATTGAAAAGCAAAGACTTTCTTGCATGAAAAATTAACGATATATTCTCTTTATTTAGTGTTAAGTGTTGCTCTGCAAATTTGATAGAGTTTTTTAGAAGTGTTTCATTAATAGAAGGGTAGAAGTCAATGATATCAAAAATTAAAAATTTATAAAGGTGTTTGTCTTTTATGGCTTTAAACCAATCGATAACATTTCGAGTGTTTTTCCATTGGTTTAATTGTAATATACTTCTTAGTTCTGTATTAATTTTAGAAAGAATATCCTTGGTAATTCTTCCAACCTCATTTTTAGCAGGATTTAATAAACGGACAGTCGGATTGTTTTCAAAGTTATCTTTATGGTCTTTTAAGGTGATAAAACAATTGGAAGCTGTATTAATATCAATTTTATCGAAAACTTCATGATTTTTCAAAAGACGTTTACCTTCTATGTTTATTATTATGTTATGTTATTTATTGATCTATTTTGTGATTATTTCACTTTATATTGATCACTCTCAAATCGAAAAAGAGTTGATTATTATCAAATAATCAAAACAACAATATATATATATATATATATATATATATATATATATATATATATATATATATATATATATATATATATATATATATATATATATATATATATATACATATATATATATATATATATATATATATATATATATATATATATATATATATATATATATATATATATATATATATATATATATATATATATATATATATATATATGTATGTATATATATATATATATATATATATATATAGTCCTTTATTTGTGTGTGTGTGCTTGCATGTGCATATGTTTGTTTGTGTACTATAAATACTAATGCATATGTCTGCACAGCACCATTATATTCTGTGCACACACAAATTAACTGTCAAGATGATAGTAAATGTTAAACTTTGAAAAAGTTTTGAATTTTTTTTCAAAACTAGTTTATTATAGGAAAAAAAAATAAACTAAAAAATAAAAAATTTTCAGACAAGTTAATTAATGTACAAAACTTTTATAAAACATTATTCTACGGTAATAAACTGATAATAAACTCTATATATTACTAGTAGAGCTGGAACCGGTTTATTTTGATTCATTAGTATTTTTAGTTAGAAATCCATAAAAATAAAATAATAAAGTTTATATTATTTCTATTTAATTTTAAATATTGCTTAAACAGATAGTCACAGCATATTTGAAGTCTAGATTTGTCAACATTTTAAATTAGTTTACTTGGTAGTCCTGCAAAAAAATGGCTAGTTCTGGGTGTGATAGAACATCTGAATACTGGATCACCAGGGTCCGATTCAGGTACCCAGTGCACTTTAAGTCACTAATTAACTTTTTAATCAAATCTGATTTTAGTAATATTGAAACTGCTTTTATGATTTTTTTAATTTTTCAGATATTTTTAATTCTAGGTATAAACTGATTAAGTCCATTTTTCTTGGAGCATGATTTTTAGCTCTTCTTTTTTTTTTTAGGTTTTTTTCTTTTGTGTCACTTTTTTGATCCAGAATGGCCCACAGGTGTTCAATTGGATTAAGATTTAAGCTTTAAGTAGACCATTCAAGTAATTCTGCATCTGGATAAAAAATTCTTTTGCCATTGTGACAATTTTTTAATCAGTTCTGGATGTCTTTTAATGCAAGGCTCTGGATCTTAACTGATACCAAACTAAACTCTAATGTCACTAATGTCATTTCAGTTGCTTTTTTTATCAACCTAAATGTTTTACTTTAAATGAACAAGTCAATAGTCAAATTCCGCTGAGCTTGTAACCATTCTTTGATTTTAACTCTCATACTTGACAATATCAATAGAAAATCAAATGAATTTGAAAAATCAGTCATTATCAATTACTTTTTATTCAACAATATTTATAAAACTATTAAAACCTTTTTTAATGATCACTTTCGAATGTTTGAAAAACAACATGTATTTTTTGTTGAGGTTTTAACACTCCTTAAGGAGTCATTAAATTTTAACAACATAAGTTGTTAAAGATTTTTGGCTGTTTAAAATTGTTATTTAGTTTTCTTTTTTTTTTGTCTTTGCTTTCAGAATAATTATAACAGTGTTTATCAAAATCTTATTTTTTTCTCGTGTTACTCATCATTTTTTTCTGACCAGAGAAAGTTTATTTGTCACAATAAGATTTTTTTTCCTGATACTCATGTCTCTGACTGTATACATGCTTTCGCACTTAGGTCTTTTTATACTTGCCCACACACCTGTCAAAACTTTGGCTTAAGCAAAAAAAAACATTTTTTTTTAAAAATAAAAGTATTTTTTAAAATTGCAATAAATCCGTTTTGTTTATCAAATACTTTTATTAAAAATTATGAAAACGCATTTATCTATGAGTTAGAGTTTAAATAAAAGGTTTGTCTTGCTGTTTTTATTTTAATAAATATGTTTAATATTTAAATTAAACATTATTATATAAAACGTTTTTTATTTTTTGTTTTTTGCTGTTTTTATTTTAATTATTTTATTTAGAATGTAAATAAAAAGTTTTTTTTGCCAGATTCTTTTAAAGTAATTCATTTTTTTCGCTAATTTTATTTTAATATTTTTATTTTAATTTTATTTTAATATTTTAATTTTAATTTAAATAGCAAAAAAATATGAGTTTTTTACATAGGGCACGCCAACCTGAATATGACCATCCAGCCAGTGCTTTTCCAAAGTTTAAAATTTTTTATGAAGACTGAATATTTCGTTAATTGAAATTTAATATATTTTTAGTATTTGGTATTTGTTGGATTTTGATTAACAAATCAAATATTGAAGTGCTTAGTTGCATTTTAAAGCTAATTCATGAGATTTTAATTTCATTATTTGAATTGTAATAATTATCTATGTAAATAGTAATCTATACATTATAAAGATTAGGGAATGTATTGTTGATTCCCAATGTAAAAAGATGAGTCCTTAAGAATTTTTTTGGGTCTGTTTCAATGTTCCTGTGCAGTAGCTCCCTTTTCAAATTTTTCCATGAGAACTCTTGAGGTCTGCTTGAATAAGTTGAGCTAAGTCTTTAACTTTTCAATGGGATTAAGTCTCTGAATTTGTAATATATTAGTTTCAGTTATTGTAAATTTTTTTTGTGTCAATTGATTTCTTTTTAGTTTAAAATATTAGTTTATTTTCCAATTATACCCTATTTCTATTTTTTGTTAAAAAATTAATGTTTTTTCTCTTTTCATTTTAGAGCAAAAACAATTAAGAATACTGTTGTAATAAATGAAGAACTCACAGCAGGTTTAAGAATAAATTTTTATTACAATTATTGTTTGCATTGTTTTTTGTTGTTTTTTTAAATTTAATTTGTAACTGAGTATATATCATTTTTTTCACAGTTTAATTTTATTTAATTATAGACGAATGGAAAAAAAGGTATGAAAAAGAAAAAGAAAAAAATGCCAAGTTGCAAGCCATGTTAGCTCATCTTGAAAAGGAAGTTAACAGGTGGCGAAAAGGTAATTTTAGAATAAATGTGGTTCTAAACATAAGTTTTTTAACAGTTTCTGATTGTACATGCTTTTAACTACTTTTAATATTGAGTTCAAACTAAAAAATTACTCGAGTAGTAACTAAAAAATTACTTTTATGTCTAATTAGGTGAAAGTGTTCCAGTTGGCGAACAAATAAATACAGCTGATAAAAAAAGAAGTAGTGAGTTAATAGAAATAGCTACTGACCAACAAAAAGCTTCTGCTCATAGTCATGTTACTGATGCAGAGTTAGTCAAATTTGATGCAGAACGCACAAAATTATATAAAGAATTAGATGAGCGGGTTAGATTACTGTTTTACATAAAATGTTTGTCTATTTTTTTATTATGCCATGATTTAAAAACTTTATTTTAAATGGTTTGAATAATATTGTTTTTAAAGGATGATGAAATCCAAGCCCAATCAAATCTTATAGAAACTCTTCGGCAGCAATTAGCTGACTTGGAAGAAGTAAATTTTAATTTTTGTAAAATAGTTAAATGTTAGTTGTGAACATTTATCTTTTATTAATTTTAAAATTTTACCCTTTATTATTACTTTCATTGTAATTATAGAATCTAATATTTACAAAAGCAAATGCGGAAAGTTTGGAAGGTCAAGTTGGTTCAATTGCTAAAGAACATGATGCGTCTAAAAATGAAGTAAAAGAAGTTTTACAAGCACTCGAGGAGCTGGCTGTTAATTATGATCAAAAACTTCAAGAAGTTGATCAAAAGACAAAAGATAACGAAAGTCTTCTTGAGGACTTGACCAAGGAACAGCATAGTAAGCAAGCACTTTCAAGAGAGCTGGAAGCATTGCAAGAGAGAATGAACCTTATGACACGAAAAGTTACTGAAATAACTAACACCTTACTTGGAGAATTAGTAGGTTATATTAAATTATTTATAAATGTGTTATAGTTAATTCAACTTATGCATAACAAAAAGATTTTATGGATTGCATTAGATGTGAAATGTGATTAAATTTGTTTATGAGTATATAAATTAGATTTCTTATTGTTTATATAGATTAGATTTATTATTGTGTATATGGATTACATTTATTATTGTGTATATGGATTACATTTATTGTGTATTTAAATTAGGTTTATTCTTGTGTATATTAATAATATTTATTATTATGTATTATATTGTGTTTAGATTTGTTATTGTGTATATAGATTAGATTAGTTGTTGCGTACTCTTTACTTTTACATACTTCTTGTGTGTACTTATATAATATTTTAAGATACTTTCACAGATTTAAAAGATGTTCTAAAAGATAATCACAAACTTGAATTGATGTATCCTATAAAAAAAATTTTTTTTTTATATGATCATTACAACTTTTAATTAGAGTGAAATCGGAAACCATCTTGGTGGAAATATTGCTGGTATGAAGGTGAGCTCAATTTTTAAGTTTAATTTTCTTAACTAAGTTTTAACTTTTCTAGCTTTTTTAACATTCTATTCACAAATATGGGTTTTCTTAGAGACCAGAGATTGAAACCGCTTCTCAATTTGATGAAGAATTTACAGTAGCTCGCTTGTATGTAACAAAAATGAAAAGTGAGATTAAAACCATGGTTCAGGTAATTCATTAAAGGCCTCAATAACATATTGTATTGTTTAAAGTTAATGATAATGTTTTATATCTTATTTTTATCTTTTTAGCTTAACAAACAACTCAATGAAACGTGCCAAATAAATCAAGAAAAGCTTGACTTATTTGAAAAAGAGATTCAAGGTTATAAACTTACGATTGCACAAGTAAGTTATTTATTTTATGTATAATTTTTAAAACAGTTTAATATGTAATCAGTATAAGTTTTATATTAAGCAACAACATGGTGGTCATGCATTATTGATATGTCCTAGTTTTGGTATTTGGTAATACAGCCCTCGGAATTAGGGTTGACATTCGGCAATACTGACCTAGCTGGCGACCTCAAAGTGTTTGAAGTTGGCAAAAATTCGCCAACCTTGCTTGTATGTTTTATGGTAACCCCTTCTTGTCAAATTTTGCCAACCTCTAACAGTTTAAGGTCGGCATTTTATCACCAATCTCACTTTTCCTAATTCCGAGGATTGGGTAATATATATATGCATAAGTAAAGATAGATGAATAACAAAATATGGTGATTTTAATGCAAAAATATTTTTTTATTTTATTTATCTAACCTTGTAAGTTATCAGAACTTATAATAATCAGAAGTTATTCTTGTAATTGTAATGTATACTGATAAACTGGTAAATTAGCAGTTAAACAAAATATAGTTTATAATTAATACTACTTCTATTATTAAAATACTGTGGCGCAGTGGTAGCGCACTTGCCTCAGAAACAAAGGATCTGTGGTTCAAACTTCACCCCTGGGCAAGTTTTGCGATATTGGTTAGGAAGGAAACGTGAACTTCTAATTAAATGCTTATCCGCGGTGCTCTGTGATTAGTCTGTAAGGACTTCTTAGAGCACATAAAATTAAAAAAAAAAATTGTTTATTGTGTAAAAACTCACATTACAATTAAAGTATTATTGCTAAATTTTTTGTTTAATTTGTATTTATAAGTAATTTTTTTTTAATAATTATGAGTGGTCAGATCATTTCAATTATAACTGTATACATATGTTTACATATATATATATGTATATATATATATATATATATATATATATATATATATATATATATATACAGGGTGGCCCATAAGTTTTGTCCCCCCCCCCCCCCCCCCTTGCATGACTTCAGTTAGTCTAGTAATCAGACAAAATATGTTTATACGCAATAAGCACTATATTTCAATCATATTACAAGTCAGGTCATACAAAATGACTGTTACAGTTTATTAATAACTACTGTGTCCTCCATTGGCAGCACGAATTTCCTGGACACGTTTTGGTAGTGATTCAACCAACAAACAGAGATAGTCACCAGTCACAGAAGACCACTTGTCTTTCACCCGTTCCACAAGTTCAACTCTATTTTTTGGCTTAGGAGCCTCAAAGACACATTGTTGAAGCAAGTTCCATAAATGTTTAATTACATTAATATCTGGACTGTTCCCAGGCCACAATTCTTTTGGAATCATCGACGGAAAGTTTTTTGCACAAAATTGCTGAACGATATTTGCTGAGTGTGCAGGTGCACCATCTTGCTGAAAAAGAATCATATCTTGATTAAAAAACATTTTTCTCTTATCAGCAGTATCACCTTGATGGTTTCTTGTAGTAGCCTCAACATATTTTGGTAAAATGTGATTCATGTAATAATCAGCATTAACTGTCTGCTTCTCTGGCACAACAACCAATTCAGTCAATCCATACCATGACATACCACCACACACCATAATTTTCAATCCAAACTTAGGATGAACAGCTGGAGTGATCTTTGATTTGTCATCGGTCTGTATTCGCATATTCTGACGATTTGGAACTGGAAATAACTCAACAGGGCTTTCGTCTGTCCACAGAACATGGCCTCGTTTTTGTCTACCAACATGGTCATCTTGAAGGTAACCATTTTGTTCCAACCAATCACAAAATTTCAAGCGATCATTTTGATTTTTTTCAGTCAATAGTGGTTTTATTGGTTTATGGTAAGCCACTTTACCCCATGGTTGATGTTGAACAAAACGTTGCACTGTTGACCAAGAAATTTGTTTTTTACGTGTAATGTATCGTTCAGAAAAGTTTAACTTTTTCGCACAACTTCTTGTTGATGAACTCCACTTGTCCTTCATTTCACTGGTTATTAACTTCTTTGATGCTGGTGACAACGCAGTTGGACGACCACAGCGTTTCTTTTCATTAAAGTTTGTATTAACAGGTTTTCTCCAGTATTGCTGAACGCTTTTCTCACTGCAGCCAATTGCAGCAGCTACTTCAGCCTTAGACTTTCCTAATTTACCTAACTCAGCAATGCGTTTCTTCAGTGATGCTGTTAAATTTGATTTTCCAATAACTTTACCCATCTAAAAATACAGATGCAGATACAGAAAATATAGAAAATAGCACATTGTCCTCTTAACCTAAAGTGGACAAAACTTTTGGGCCTACTGGAGACAACAAAGAACTCAAATTGCCGAAAAAATTACCTCAAAGTAAGCTGGTTTAAAACTGAAATGTGTTAGACAGATGTAATTTAACAAAACTTAACAGAAAATCTTGCAATGACTACATTCACTACTTTTCTAGGTCTATTTTTATATAGCACAAATTTTTTTATAATTCGAATTTATAACTTTTACAAACCTCTGGTCAAGTGTAAAATCGAAATTTCTCCTCGTAAAAGTAAACAACCTCTAGTAAACAACTTGCAAAGACATATCAATAAGATCGTATGTTGTCTTTTCTTTTTCAGTAAAAACGATGAGTAGTCATAACGGGTGGACAAAACTTACGGGCCACCCTGTATATATATATATATATATATATATATATATATATATATATATATATATATATATATATATATATATATATATATATATATTGAGTGTTGAGTAATTCTAAAAAGAAAGCCACTCTCTAATTTAGTAAATGTATTAAATTCTGCATAACATTAATAATGTTATGCAGTCTAAATAAATAGTCTCTCTATATATGTGTATATATATAGATTGAGATTCACTGGGTAAAACTATTTGTGTCGTTGCTTAAAACTGTTTAGTCTTTAATATGATTGGTTAGTGTAATTCCTAGATAAACTTGTTGTCATATAAAAAAAAAGAAAAATAATATTCTAGCTTGAATAAATAATTTTGCTTTATTTTGTATTTTTCTATAATGAACTAGATTTTTGTATAATGAATTAGATTTTATAAAAAATTTGTTTTCAATTTAACAAAATATTGATAATGGTAATTTGGCTTAAATTCTGTTTTCTACAAATAATACAAGATTAGTATTAAGTCTATATGTTTACTTTTGTACAATATGTCACAACTACAACAAATAAATAAACAATAATCTTTAATGACAGAGTTATTAATGTTATGCAGAATTTATTACATTGATAAATTCTGCATAACATTAATAACTTTGATAACCATAAAGCACTAATTACAGGGTTTGATAAGCACATTAAGTGTTCTTATATAATACAATATGAAGTATTAAATACTGTTTTAAACCTCACCATTTTAATTCAGGGTATAATATAAATTATGTAAGGTCTCATCTACATCACACTTATTACCAACCTTAAAAGAACTGCTGTCAGAAAGGCCTTTTTGATAAACACTGTCTTGTTTTCAAGGTTGCAAAATTGTAAAGGTTTCGCTAATCTTCCATCACAACTAATATCCAGTTAAGTCGCGCTGCTCTTTACAGCATTATCAAAACTAATGAAATTGAAAATGTTTTTCCTAACATTGACACAGCGCTGCAAATGTTTTTGACTTTAATGGTAACTTATTGCAGTGGTGAGCGGTCATCAAAGGTTCAAAGGTTTCTTAAGATCCCACTGGGAGAGCTTACAGCGATTTCCCAGGCCCTTTGCTGGTGAGTAAAGGAAGTCTTAAGCCACCCCATGCCCCCAAAAACCCCACCCTGGTAGGAACACCTCAAGCGATACCTTCGGGGCTTTTTCATTAAAAGCCTTCACCCTTCTCCTGCCCATGAAATTTTTATTAACTTATATGCTTAGGGCAGCACATTACCCTAATCTGACCCTTGTTTGGAAAGTTGAAAATTCTATAGTATAAATAACTTAAACTTAATGGCTACCTTTGTGTGTTATTGTAGTTAAATAACTTAGTGTTTGTACTTGTTAAATTGATATTGTGGATTTTGATATTGAATAATTGTATATAAACCGTTAAATAAGGCTTAATATTTTCAAAATCTTTACCATTGCACAATATCGATTTTCCTCACTGGTTTTTTCACAATTTTCTTCACTTCATTTTAAAGCCATTATGACATGTGAAGTCTGACTTTTTATACTTAGGAATTGTCCATAAATTACGCAACACTAAATTTCACAAATAAACAAAATAAAAAAAATTAAAAGTTTTTCCTTACAGAATCTTAGGTTAAATAAAAATAGCGCATTAAGTTCACTGTGCTATTTTACTATGACATCCTTAATCGCGTTTTGTTCTTTTGTGTAAATCCAAGTATATTAGATATTACCAGAGTGCCTAAGCAGCCTAATTCAAGTCTAGAAGTAAAGCCTTATTTTTTATTTATTATTACTATTATTTTATTTGATATAATATAGGGATACATATAGTAAAATGAAGTTTATTACTTGGGATATGTAGGGATACGTATAGTAAAATAAAGTTTATTACTTAAGTAGGTAAATGATTACTACATCTGTCCAAGATCGTCTGTATACTTTTGCCCAAGATCATCTGTATTTTTTTTTATTCAAGTAACATTTGTCCAATATCATTTGGAAATTCAATGACTCCAAACAACATCTTTAGGAAAATGTAACTACATCTGGTAATTTTTCTCTAATTTTCAATAAAAATTCTGGAAGAATTTCCTCCAGATGTAATTACATCTGAAAAAAATCTTATTTGTAACTAAATCTGGTTACCATCTCGTTAAAATAATACACTATTATTTAATAATTTTTCCAGATGTAACTACATCTGAAAAAGAACATATATGTAACTACATCTGGTTAAAATAATACATACTAATTTAATAATAATTTCATAAAATCCTGTAGTTATATTTAATATAACTGAAAAGATATAACTACATCTGTAAAAATTTCTAGGTGTAGTTGCACAGATGTTGTTATACTTAGATAA